TTACACAAATTATCCCGGAAAGATGTGAATCTTGCACAACAAAATTGCTAGTTTCGGCGGTGCTTTGGCAGCTTTGATCACCCCTTGCTCTTTGGGGTCAACCTGACCGCCAGTCCATTAACACCCACCTAGGAATAGGAGTGCCTCTTTGAGCCTTGAGTCTACAGATTATTAAAAGTTCACCGAATAATTCACAGGTCAACTCATCCAAAACCCCCTTTTCTATGAAGCGATGCTAAACGATACTGACCAATTCCCAGCGTCTCTTAAACCATTGCTCCACTGAGGGGTTCTACTAGCGCCCAAGGGATCTTCTTCCCGCTGTAGTACCTACCTAAGCAAATGGGTGAAAGAAGAAACGTGACACTTCGTAGATTCATGAGTGGCTACAAGAGACCACTTTCTAGGATAGCAAAGTGAAGAAAAGCAAAATGTAGTATGAAACGATAGAAAGTAATTATGTTTAACATGCTACCCCGTCCTTATTCGTTCTTAGCCTTTGAAAGCTCGATGATATCGTTCACAGACTCAAGAATATGCCGTATAATACATCGAGTGTCAAATACAGTCAGTCACCAAGCCAACACGCCGCCTCATCCTCGAGATCATCTCCAGTCTCATTCATAGACTACCTTCCTAGGTCACAGACTCAATAACGGATGTCCCTTTTTAGTAGACATGTATGAATAACATGCACTGCACCTGTCTTATATCTCTTATAAGTCTACATTCCTATTCCCTCCAGGGCCAGATATCATTGTTTACTAGAGGGTAATGACGATCAAGTCACTCTGAAAGGAACAACCTCGTAAAGAAAAGAAGACTCTACCGGGTTTCAGCTATAGTCATTATCCATGACTGTGTGTTCAAGGTACCCAGATCCGAAACTGGCTTCGATATGCTCCGAGGCGTTGACCAAACCTAAGCTGATGCTTGAAGCATCAAGGCGCGGTAAGTCCTGCCAGACAGAGACTTGTCAAAGATAGGCTACTATATTTAGAAGCAGGCCTGCATTCAATCCAAAACCGACCCAAATTCCTATCCAACAAATTGACCAATGTTGCGACCCTGACTGGATCCTGTTTTTGAGAAATCGCCATCTCAAGGCCCGCTTGTGTGGAGCTGTTCAAGGGGATTCACATGCCAACCAGTAGGACACTCCTTTATGCAAAATTCGCGCCAGGCCCTGCGAATGCGCACAGTTCCTTGGTCCGGTATCGGCCTGGCCAACCGCAATTTTCAGAATTAGGGACAGCTTGCATAAAATTTTTGACCATCAACGGGGTCATTTCTCCTTATTAAGAGGGTAACAGAAATCTCATGTACAACTAATGATTTTACAAGCCCTGGTATCTGATGCAATGGCCTGCCCGGTATCTCTACAACACAGCTGCCACGCATGCACCTTCGTCTCTTGATTTGAATTTAGCGCCGGAGTGCTTACCCCCTCTTCCACACAACCTGGTGTGTTTTCCTTTTCTTGCTTCGTAACAGCTGCTTACAGCTTCTTGACAATCTCGATCCACTTCTCGGTGGAGAAAGACTTGGGGCGCTCAATGGGGGCACCGAAGGCGCGGTCGATGATGAGCTGGGGCAGGACACCAATGGCACGGGAAACACCGAAGAGGACGGTGTAGTAGTTAGCCTCAGTGAGACCGTAGTGCTGGAGGAGAACACCGGAGTGGGCATCGACGTTGGGGAAGGGGTTCTTGGTCTTGCCGTGCTCAGTCAGGACACCAGGGGCAATCTTGTAGACCTGGCTGACGAGCTTGAACATGGGGTCCTCGGGAAGGTGCTCTGTAAAAATTACATTAGTTTTACTGCGGTTTTTCTATCAATTCCATGCACAACTTACTCTGAGCAAACTCGCGCTGGGCGGAGTAACGGGGGTCAGTCTTGCGGAGAACGGCGTGACCGTAGCCAGGAACGACACGGCCAGCGTTGAGGGTGGACCAGAGGTAATCGGTGATAGCCTTGTCGCTAAGATCATCACCAACAGCCTTCTTCATCTCGGTGAGCCAGTTCAGGACCTCCTGGTTGGCAAGACCGTGGAGAGGACCAGCCAGACCGTTGAGACCAGCGGCCAGGGAGAGGAAGGGGGAGCTCAGGGCACTACCAACGAGGTGGGTGGTGTGGGCAGAAACGTTGCCACCCTCGTGGTCGGTGTGGATGGTCAGGTACAGACGCATCAGCTCAACGAAATCAGCGTTGTCACCGAAGCCGAGCTGGTTGGCGAAGTTGAAGGAGTAATCCTTGTCCTTCTGGATGGGAGCAACCTTGCCGCCCTTGAAAACATTCTGGTAGATGCGGGAAGCAATGTTGGGGAGCTTGGCAATGAGGTCCATGGAATCCTCGTAGGTGTAGCTCCAGTACTCCTTCTTGTTGATACCCTTGGCGTAGGCCTTGGCGAAGGAGGAGGTGTGCTCGAGAGCGGTGACGGCCAGAGAGAACTGGGCCATGGGGTGGAGATCGGTAGGGCAGTGGTCGATGAGCTCCTCGACAAACTTGGGGATGTCGGAACGAGCGGCCCACTCGGCTGAGAGGTCGCGGACCTGCTGCTCGGTAGGGACCTCGCCGGTCAGGAGAAGCCAGAAGAGACCCTCAGGAAGGGGCTCCTTGCCACCAGGGGCCTTAGGGAGCAGCTCCTGGCATTCGGGGATCGTCTTTCCACGGAAACGGATACCCTCCTCAGAATCGAGGACGGAACCCTCCCAGACGAGGGCCTTGATACCACGGGCACCACCGTAGACCTGGTCGAGGGTCACCTTGTCGACGACCTTGGAGCCATGCTCTCTGTAGTATAAGATCGGTCAGCTTGGTCGCCCTCAAAAAAATTGCGACGTGGCGGCGACGAGATGGGAGAGATTGCGACTAACTTTCGCAGAGCCTTGATCTGCTCGATCTTCTCAGGGAGAGTCTCGGCGAAACGCTCCTTCAGGGTCTACAAAGGCAATTGAGTTAGTGTGAGGGTTCCACGATGGACCAATTTGCGTCATGGCCGCTTGGGGAGCTATTGAGATGGCCCATACCTGTGCCTTAGCGGAATAGCATCGAGCGGCGTTGAAGGCAGAAACCCGGCCACCGAAGGCAGGGTTTCGAAGTGAGGCCCGGAGGGCAGAGTTGCTAAGACGGGCGACGGAAGCCATTTTCGCTGGATACAGTCTGTAGAGGTGGAAGAGGATGACGAGGGGGAGGGCAGCTGAAGAAATAGGCGGGCGAAAGGATGAAAAAGAAAAAGACGCAGGCTTAGCTGGAAATATACCTACCTAGTCTGTGCGTGCGTCGGGACCTGTCAAACCGAAGCCAGCCAAGTACCTGCCACCTTAATTACGTAGTACGTACAGGCAGTAGGGACGTGCTGTAGCCGTTACGAGTTAGTGCGGTTGGTACCCCAAGCATCTAGGATGCCCTCAATCGATTCAACAAGCTCGCAGCCTGCATCAGCTTTGGGGTCGCCCCTATTCCCTGGCAAGTACACGCGACAAGTTGTCTCCATAGTCAGCAAATCCAACGAAGCACTGCTGCAATGCAACTCCGAATATCCCGCAACCTGTCCTCTGCTTCTCCAACTGTCCCCCTCCCACATGGCATCGCCAGGGCCGGGACTCTGGGGTTTGTGATGAGCTCCCTGCATATTTGGGGTTCCTGTGCCTACTCTATGTCCGGAAGCGCTGTGCTTTGTTGAGCGCCATTGCATCATCCAAGCTCTTTTGTGTCACCAACCCTGTACACAACTGCAACCCTCCCAAATCCTGCCCTTGAGCGGTCACCTAGTTGGACATGAGCCGGATCATACGGAGCTCTTGCGTCTCCAACTGAAAAATAACTCTTGTTCTCTACGATATGTTCCCCAAATATATGACTACATCACCTGCCCTAAGAGGCAAGTTGCGGGGAGATACTGGTACCCCATAGCCGCGGATACCTTTCGGTTATGCAATCGGCTCTAGGGTATGTATCCGATGCAGATTTGGATGGAAATTCTTGTGTCGTAGCCAACCGCTGTAGGGTTTCTCTAATCGGGCAGTTGCCCCGTGGGTCAGCCTGCCAGACAACTAGGTTCATGCATTGTGGTGCCCTGCAAGAACTAGGCGGCTAAAAGAAAACAGAGACAAAGGCGCGGCGCAGTGCAGGACTCCGCATATGCAATATTATATAAAATCCTTTGAGACCCTGCTGAAAGCATGCATGACTTTGGTACTACGGAGAAAACAACAATAGGGTAGGTTGATGCCAGGACCACGAGTGAGGATCCAGTCGAATTTAGAAAATGCCAAATCAGTGCCACCAAAAGCTTACATAATACTTTGCAGCTCGGGTGATCTTCGGCAACTGAAGAAAATTTCGTTGCTTCTGGTAGGGCCTGCTGTCGGGTACGTACCATCCCTCCCTTCAGGCATCCTTCAGCGCTCGCACCACTTTCTACATCATTCCTCCCTCGCGCCACCTTTCTGCCCTTATTTCTTATCCTTTCATCAACCAAACCACCACCATCCAACGCGCGAAACCTCGTGCTTGACGAGGCAAACACTGCTCTCTTCGCTCATACGCGCTCCAAGCACCACGCCTACATTTCTTTCATTTTCTCTCTCTCCGCTACTCACTCTGTGCTTGGCGCATATCTTCTCGCGGTGACGTGTGCGCGTGACGCATTCGTAGAAAGAAACACTTTTCTCTCGACACCTCACCTAGGTTTCCTTGGCACATTTCGTACCTCTTGAAAACTATCAACGACATCGAATATATTCGATCTAGCGCTCGTACAGGCCTCTTGGCGACTGTAAAAGATACTTTTGACGCGTGGACGTGTAAAGACAGAATCGCACATATTCTATAGTGGCTTGGCCATCGAAGGTGACCGCCGAGAAGGCTTCATTTGAATATCCTAGCAGCGAAAACGTACATCAGCCAGTGCCTGCCTGTGCTTGGACTTCCATACACGGATCCCCGTATACCTCTCTCTGGCGTGGCCAGTGGCATACATAGCATAACTTTCAGCCATGGCATCCGCGGTGGCAGACTTAGAAGCCGGCCTTCAGGCCATGCTAAACCTGAAGCCTCCCGGAGTATCTGGATCTCGGATCACCAACTTGACCACTCTATGTGTCGCAAATATTCAGGCATGTTTTCAGCCCCGCCCGTGCCAAAGACCAACAACGACCCCATGACGCGTACTAACAAAGACTCGCAGTCCGAATCCGTCCTCATCCAAAAGATTTTCACACATTTTAAAAAGACACCGGGAACACACAAATTGGGGGTTCTTTACGTTGTAGACTCCGTAACCCGCAAATGGCTCGAGCAAGCCAAGGCTCAAGGACAAGCAGTAAACAGTTCGGCGCCAGACGGCACATATGGGGCCGGTGTCAACAGAGTAACGGAACTGATGCCTGTGCTGATGAATGACATACTTCAGACCGCCCCTGAAGAGCAAAAGGTACGCATGCGCGCTTCGGCATTTTGACATGATTTCTTACACATCCCATGTATCGTTCCGTCCATCGTGTGGAGATGCCAATCGACCTGAATAGCCGCCCGAGTCTGGCCAAAGAGTTCTGACCTACTCTCGTGACTCTGGGACTGATCTTAGATTGACAGCTCCCTGCTGATGCTACCACTTCCCTTGATGAATAGAGACTCACACGCGTCATATGTAGGAGAAAATTAAAAAGCTGCTTGATATCTGGGAGAAGGGACAAACCTTCCCCATCTCTATGTTAGAGTCCTTCAAGGAGAAGTTGAATGCTCCACACTCAAGTATGTTTCCCGCAATGCTTGCCCATTCTCTTCCTCCCCAAATGCAACTGAGCGGTTTCATTAACGTATCGCAGAGGTATCGACTACGCCTCCCGGAAGCCCTCCTGCTGGATTGATCGCTTCGCTTCAGAAGCCCGTGTCTGCTCCTCCAGCGGGCCCAGCCCAGAACGGCCAATCCATCCTGGATGCTCTTGCAAATATTGCTCGCCAGAATACTACTGCTCCACCAAGTTCATCAAGCTTACCCGCACCGGCAGCATCGTATAATATACCGCCGTCGGTCACCGGGCTCCCACAGCCTGTTTCCTCAACGATGGCTCAGCCGTCGCTGCAGATGCAAAATCCAGCATCTTACCCCCCCACCTCGCAGCCTGCTGTAAACTTGCCGCCCTCTCTCCCATTTTCCCTCCCACAGGTGACTTCGTCCATGGCTGGTCCTTCGCCGAATATGCCCAATAATCAGTTTCCTGGGGGCCCAGCGCCCGCGGGAGGGGCCTTAGATCCCAATACCCAACAACAGATATTGTTGATCAAAGCCCTCGCTGATCAAGGTGTGCCCTTTGAAAAGATTCCGGCGTTGATCCAGAGCATGACTCCAGGCGCTGCTGGCACTGTTGCGACAGGCACTGCCCAACAGGGCGCAGTCCCAGCTCCCAATGGTACGTACGGTTCTGGCCAACCATCATGGGGGGCACAGCCACCAAAGCCAGAGGGTGGCCGCGACTGGTATAAAGAAGGAGTGAGGTCTCCTGGCAGATATCGTGATAGATCCCGATCTCGGTCTCCCGACCGAGGCTGGGGTGCTCGTGGGTCACCTCGTAGTGGACGTGATAGAACAGATTATGGCCGCAACTCTCCTGCTCGAGGCCGTGATGAGGATCGCAGAGGAAACGACTATCGAACGCGTAGTCCGCCTCGACGTCGTGGCCAAACACCTCCTGATGGGGAGAAATGGACTGACTATGATCCCAATATCCCCCAGGGCACAATCAAAGTTCTAAGCCGAACCCTTTTCGTCGGTGGAGTAACGTAAGTGAACAAAATCCTTGCTTATACATACGATAATGATTTGGTATTAACAACACAATAGATGCTCCGAAGCCGAATTGCGCAATATTTTCACCCGATTTGGCGTTGTGCAGACTTGTATCGTAAATAAGGACAAGCGTCATGCATTCGTCAAAATGTTGACTCGTAAGGATGCCATCAGTGCCAAAGAGGGCTCAGAAGACAACCGAGGGCTAGAGATACCTCTTCGAGTATGTTTCAACCACGTTCCCATGCCTTGCTGATCAAGATACTAACATGGAGATTTAGACACGATGGGGTGTGGGCTTTGGACCCAGAGACTGCAGTGACTACGGAACTGGTATTAGCATCATTCCCATCAACAGGTTGACGGAGGCCGACCGTAAATGGATGTTGACGGCCCCCCATGGTGGCAGCGGCGGCCGGCCGATTGCAACTGGACTTGTCGTTGAGGAGCCTGATATTGAGATTGGTGCCGGTGTCTCCTCCAAGGCGATCAGCAGGCGTATGCAGACCGACAAGGGCGGCGCTAACGGACCCAAGTCAACTCGTAATCGCGACGATGGATGGGGTAGAGGCCGTGGCCATGAAGGCGGTGACCGTAGACCAGAGCCCAATGGTGACGAAAACCAGCCTTCCATCCAAGGATTCCCATTCGGCATCGGCACTTTGCCCAACGGCATGCCAAACTTCCCAGCAGGCTTCTCTTTCCCAGACCCTTCCTCTAATGGAAAGTGGGCTTGAAGCCTGAGTTGACTGGTCACATTGCTTATACGGCTCACGGACCCTATGCGCTATGGTTCGCTATTTTCTCTTTACACGCAGCACCACAGCTTGAACGAACACACAAGGCTGCTTTTTCGGGTTGATTTTTTTTTTCTTTTAATTTGCATTGGGGGTTTGAGCGTGCTATTACACGGAGTTGGTCGGGATACTGGGCTGTACCATCCATTGGGCATACAAGGGAGGGGAACTTGATCTTGAACTGCGCATGCGTATTGCTACGGCCACGGCCTGAGGCAGAAGTTTTTCTTATTATTACAGAGCAATTCAATTCTTTCGTATCCATGTGGCTATTTAGACCTATCACATTGGTGAAGAGTGAAATATGTAGATGCTAACCAAAAACCGAAACACCTTTAGTGAACCAGTGTTGGATCCCGATGGATTTGACACCGCTGAATGGAAATGCCACGCAACAGCTGCACGATAACAAACCGTGATGAAGCAACTCAAGACACATCGTGTGGGTGCGTCAATTGGACTGTTCACACCCTACCAATCCCATCACATCTCACATCCAGGATTTGGTTAGGAGGACCGCCCATGCTCGCGGATGGGTTCCATAAGGTCCAGACCACGAGGCAGAGCAGCACTTCATGCACGTTTCTTGAATTCCCTCAACACCACACCGCCAGCCTACCCTGTTGCGGCCCATTCCCCTCATGAAACCCTCTCTCCTCGGGGAATTTCCTCGCTCTACCTGCAAGGATGGCTGGGCGCTTGAACCTTGACCTGAACCTTGAAATCGAGAGCTACCCTGGTTCCCATCCCAGATACGGGCCAAGAGGAGTTTACTTGTTACGATGGGCAATGTGTCAAACCACGGAGCCGAGACGGGGGAGGAAACCCAGATGCGGCACGTAGTGCGACCCCCCCCCCCCCCAATCCTCGTGAGGAAACGTGGTCGAGTAGCACAAAGAGTGCGTTTACGTATACGAATGCGTCGAACCTTGGGGGGAGCCAGCCTCCGACTTTTGGGGTTGTTTCCCGTGGCAACAGGGACTTTGAAACGAGCCAGTTCGCAGCGCCATCCCCGTGCCTCTTATGGGAGAACCAAGCAGGACAACAAAAGTATTACATACATGCATCTACGCACAGGTTTGGTCATGTCTTTGGTCATGTCACTAGCAAAGACACATCTCACGCCAACAGCCTCGCTCTGTGCGATGTTCGAGCGCGCGGGAATGTGACACGATTGCCCTCCTTCTCGAATCGGCCGACCACTTGAATCAAGGTTAAAATTTGGGTTTGGAGCGGTACGCCGGCAGACGCAGTCCTGTCTAACAAACGGGCCAGCCGTGTGACCAATCGCTGACTGAATTGCGACCTGTTGAAACCGCCAGCTCAATGGAGGGTGGGGGGACTTTCCCGGTCTTGCGGCCGGCATTCCTCTCAAACGAGAAGTGACACGCAGCTTTTCAATTGCTACGTAGGCACTGGTTTGGCTTGGTGTGGGCGTGGGTGTGGTGGTGGTCCAGCCTCGTTTCCCCCAACTCTCACTGCCTCGGGTTCGCTCTCTGCTAGGTTCTGCAAGGTAAAATAAGGGCCGGTTAGGTGCCCCCCTCCCCTGTACGGATACGTGAACAGGGTCCTTTGGAGCTGTGACATGCCAGTTGGGGATCGTGGCGAAAAGGATGATGTTTCTTCCGTTTCGCCTCTCGGTTCAGAATGGATTGTGCAGTGCTTCGCGCGCGCGGACGGAAACAGGGACGACCGTAGCCTAGGCTGAGAGTTCTTTTGGCTGACGAGGAACGAGGCTGTGGGATGTTTCGTGCCTCGGCGCACAAAAGACTGGAGTCTCCAATCGAGGCCATCCGGCGAGGCTACCCCCAGACCGATACTGTCTGTGCATTGGGGAATGGATGCACAACATCTGTAGGCGACATTTCCCTTGGATTCCCCACCGGACCGAGGCGGGCGTCAATCCTGTTCCGCCGGGGCTCTGCCTGAGCCTGTCAACCTGTGAGGCGAGAGAGAAAGCTGCTGCCTGTGTGAAGCCCTGACCGCAAAGATCGCCGAGCAGCTGCCTTGAGACAGGTCGCCATTGCATGGAGCCGGAGCTTCAGGTAAGGATCAACGGAGGGAAGCAGAAGTTTTGTGCAAGATGATACTCGTGCTCCCCACGTTGTCTATGGCTCGGCTCAGACTGGATCACCTAGCTGGAACATTGCGACTGGGAGAGGGAGGAAGGGGGGGATGTTGATGAGAAACTAGCTGGAGACATCTGACATTACTATGTAGATACACGAGGCAGAGGAATGGGCCATGTCGGCCGGGAAAAGCCCAATTCAAGCTCCGACGCCGCCGTGATGCGATTCTGGTCATCTCGGAGCGAGCACCTCCAACCGAGAAGGCGACTCGCGAGAAGAGCGGCATAAGAAATGCCGACGCTCATGGAGCCCCCAGCCCTGGAAGCGCAAGGCCACGGAAGCTCCATTGTTCGCTGTTACACCGGATGAATCGGTCTTCCTCTACAAAGTATACAAAGTATGGAGCGATGGATCCGGGCTACTGAGCGGCCCTGGTCTTGTCTGAGATTGGGGGCCATCTTTTCGCTCGGCGTGAGTGAGCCAATTGGGTAATCCGGCGACCGGGCTTGTAATCTCCTTGCCATGATTTGCTCATGGGAATGGTCAAGTGGCCAGATAACACGAGAGAGGCAGAACGACTAATCTGATTTCCCCAAACGATATTACGTACGTACGGGTATTGTGGGCGAGTGATTTTCACGGATTCCGTGTACCGTATGTACCAGGTAGATCTGCAATCTCAGATGTGGGCAGCGACTTTCATGCCCCCATCGCCAAATTGTTCACCTACCTTAGCTCTCTGGGCCTCTGCGCGCTTTGCTGCGTTGAGGTTCCTATTCTGGCAGGGCCTACGATCCTCGCTGCATTGGAATCTCGACTGGCGCCGCTGGCGAAATGAGAGGTGACGCTCCATTTCAGGTACGGTAGTGAGGCGACAGGGCCCCAGCAGATCCGTCAGGACCCTTTCCTCGTCCATCGTCGCAGTCTGGATGGAGGAGGCTTTCGATGGATGCTCAGCGGTCCCCGCAAAAAAGTCGACCTCAATTTTAAATTGCTCCCTCGGTTCTGGCGGCGCGCCCTACGCGTTTATTTGTTTGGGTCAGTCAATTGGACCGTGTTGATGATGGTTTCCAGCTTCGATTGGACTGGCCATGTAATGGAGGCCTTCACTATCGACGCCTGGCGCTGACTATGGCATTGGCATTCTTACATACAATTGAGCCAGGCTAGCAGTCTGTGTAACCTCTACGGAGTACGTAATACGTGTAACGGCTTGCTCCAGTACATACCTGTTCTGGTTGCATCCTGAGTCGTTGTCGTGTCAACCATAAAGGCCGCTCCTCCGTCCAATGCGCGTCCTGCCACGGTGCCGGACCGGCACTGTCGGTCAAAATGGCGTGGAGGGAGGATCGGCGGGAGATAAAATTCGGGTATGCTGTACTGGATGTGGCGGCAAGATTCGGGAATGCTGGGACCTTATTGCAATGTCGATGCATAAAGAACCTCAATTGCAAATGGGATCAGTTCATGTGGACACTTACAGATGTTGCTCTGGATGTTCTCCCGAGGCAGCAGGGTGGACGCCTGGTGCCGAAGCCGATCGTCTTGCGTTGAGTTTGGGGCTGGCTGAGGCGCGCGACGGGTACCGGCGACCAAGAGATAGGCTGGACCGACACGAGAGCTAAATCCAGAAAATATCGCTACGGAGATTTCTCGTTCTGCGTAATTAAAAACTCGAGCAAGCCGAGGCGGTCTCGACGGAGGTGTCTGGGGCGGTTGTTTCGGCGCGATTTTGTTTCGGGGCTACCTGCGAGCAGGTAGTGCGTATGGAGTAACTTTGATGACCTGGGAGAAAGTCGCTCAGCGCCTCCCGTCAATTGCGTCTTTCCCCCAGCGCGAGCATGTACTAAATTATTACCGTGTGTGTCCGCGGAGGCAAAAAGAAAGGACGGGCCAACCAGACGGTCAAGGTGGCTGGCCAAGCCAAGCCAGAAAAAGGCTCACCTAAGAAAAGAAACGTGGTTGACCGATTGCTTTGCAACTCCACGGCTCACATGCCCATTTGCCATTCATTGCGATTGCTGTTGCCATTGAATATCCATGCATGGCTAGCACGTTAGCTGCTTGGAAGGGTACTTTGATCTTCATGGGTTTTTGCGCGATAAAAAAAAAGATGGCATCCATCGCAATTACCCGGCTGACGCCAACGAACAAAGCCAGGCTGATAAGCAGGGCGCGCTCGAGCAACCCCAAAAAAGCCTCTTGTTGATGAAACAGCGACTACTTGTTTGGCTCCCGGCGAGAAAAAATTGTTTAGTTCTGGACCCTTCTGGGCCAGGAAAGGTACCGTCACCATCCACTCCACCCCCACGGCGTGGCCGACAAGAGATACCAATTGGCGGCCTGTGACTGGTCCGAGATGAGCCTGACCGCCTGCGGTAATTGGCCCAGGGCCAGTCGCAGTTCTGGGGGAGGATCGCGATGACGTCGGGCGGACCAGGGATGGACTGGCTCTCGGGGGTGCAAAGTTGGAGGAGGCGTGTGCGCTTCGTGAGGACTGTGTGGATGGACGGCCCACCTGATTGTCCTTCAGCTTGGAGAACCGGAACTAGTCCTTGGGGTGAGGCCTGCAAGTACCTCCATGCCCACGAGGGTCCTTCTGTGCCTGGCGTAGAATTTCATGTTCTCCCCACGACTCGAGTTTGAGAGTATTGACTTGGCCATTGTCGCCCTGCCCGTGAGTGACGTATTTGTCCCATACTTTTCTCGACAGAAAGCGTATGATCTGACAGCTCAAACGTAAAACTTTTTTTTTCGCCTCTCCTTTTCTTATTGTTAAGGCAGTTGACTAGAAGCCCCCAGCCGATCCGGACCCGGCTTCCAGAAGCTTTCAGCCTAGGTGGTCTCCACACTAGGCTGCCGTGGATGAAG